GAAAAAAAAGGGCCTATCATGAAACTCTATCATATTACAGAAAAAATTAAGTGCGTGTGGGAGGGGGAGCTCTCCCCACTGGAGCGAGAGCCGTACCTAGATACACCCAAATGAGGCATTCGCGCCCTCCGGGACGGCGGAGGCTGACGAGGGCTTCTCTGCGTCTGCTCCATGGAAAGCCACACACAGGCCTGCAACAATGGACTTACCCCCGAGTTTCAGAAACACAGGGTGGGGGGAAAGTAGTTGTGAGTACAGGACACGGAGTTCATTCGAGTCTTACTGCTTGTTAGTCACCGCACCGTTTTCACCCGTACCTCTGTCCCACTCCGTGTGCTTTCTTTCCCAGGAAAATACAAGCTGGTGGAGCTACTGCATCCTCCAAAGTTATGTAAATAAAGTAGAACCGAGGCTAGAAAATGCATATGAGAAAATATCGTGTTTCATACAAGTGAATTAGTTTTGCACAATGTTCCGCTTTCCTCTCTCTCCAGCAAAGCAGAGCGTTCTGTGCCAAATTCTTCAATAAGCCCCTTAAGATTGTTTTCCAATGACAAGGACAAATGAGTCCTGTTAATGATTTTCAGATTTGAGGCAATAATTCTCATATAAAACAATTTTTTCCTTGGGATCTGCCAAACTATTCCTCTCCAGAAAAACCGTATCCTTATTCTAAGAATTTTTTGACTATACTGTCCAGGCTGATTTTTACCTTGAATGAGAACCAAGAGAAGAGACAACTTTTCAAGGGGTGATGAACTGAAAGCTAAGAAAACATTTCTACTTCTCAGAATTTAACCCCCACTGAATCAGAGATAAATCTTCCGGTGTCAAAATAACAAGTTTTGTCGGTATGTACGTCCCTACACCTCCTTTTTTAGGCTTCACGAAGAACGGTTGGTTTTGATCATGATTTTTAGGGGCAAAGACACCGTTACTTTGGATCACATTCTAATGTTAAGACACACAGGATGAGCCTTGTCCTTTTCCGTAGGAACTGCTGGTTCCTCTGGTTGATACATTCTTGCCATGAGAACCTTTGCAGACATAATGGGTAAAGGGTAGCGCTGTGCAATTTCTGTGGGTTGGAAGAGGAAGAGTTAAATAGAAGCCACCGATCTGCATAAAGAGTATTATCTTTCAAATGTCTTCAGGGCAAGTTCTGTCCTATCCAATGCACTGCATCTTGCGCCTGTTGACGTTCTGGCAATCGAAGAAGGCCTAGTTTCTCATGAGCAGTAATGGATTCTAACATCGAGACAAGTTAAATTAAAAACCACCATCCAGACTCATTTTAAATTAGAACAAAATATGAACAAAGTAAACATTAACAGGATCTATGCATCAACTATTGTTAAATCTTCGCTCTTCAGAACACTGCAGTACTGGAGATCAGGAATAAAAACAACAAAACCCCAGCTGTCTATGATGGGAATGAATCAAGCAGTCACAGCTGTGGAAGTTGAAAATTCTCCACATTTTCTTAAGCATTTATGTTTTGATAGTGGAATACATTAAATTTCATAAATGTAGTATGTGCTATAAAATAGAACAAAACCATTCACACATTAAAAAGACAATTTTCATGCTGAAAACAAGCTAAACTGAGTCACAACAATTTATCTGACAAATGTTTCATTTTCCTTTCACAAGTCACCAAACGTTTATGCCAAATGGTGGCCGATCGCATCCCAGTCTCAGATGCTGCATGAACTAGTGGCGGGATGAACGGTTACGTGAAAACCACCAGTACAGAAAAGGATGCAGATACTGAATTAGATATTTTCTAATTCACGTTCTTTGCCATTCACCCTCTTTTGGTTTCCAGTTCCCGGATCACCCTCAGAAACATGTATCTCATTTCAACAGAGACTACGAGGAGGAGATGAGGTGGAGAAACCCAGCAAAAGCCCCCAGGTATCCAGCGTGGGGAGTGGTGTAGACCAACAGCCCCCAGCCTGTGACTGGCACCAGGGCACCAGGGCACCAGGGCACTCGCTCGCCCACTGCTCACCTCCAGCTGCGTGGCTCGGTTCCTACTGGGCCATGGACTGGTACCGGTCTGCGGCCTGGGGCTGGGGACCCCTGGTGTAGACGACGCTACACTAAGCTGGGAGCTACGATGGGGATCCAGTTTGGAGGAACAGGAAAGACGACGAACGCACTTCTGGACGTGCTGGGTTAGCGTTACCTACAGGTATCTCATGCCATCGGTACCTGAGCACCTAGGGTGTCACCGGGCCCCAGGGATCACACAGAGCTGGACAGACAGGTCTAGTCCAGAGGTGGGGGTCACCAGGGGGCACGCAGAGCGAGTCTGAAGGAGCCCACTCCAAGTGAGTGTGAAGAGCAGGAAGAAATGTGGACTGAAGGCTCTAGAAGAACAGATTTAAGAGAAAGGCAACGAGGAACCAGTAAAACCAAAGCCTGAAGTACAGCAGGTAAACCAAGGGGGACTGGTGCTAGAGTGGGGACTTTCAAGAAGCAGAAATAACTAGTATCAACCTCAGAAATTTAAGATGTGGCCTGAGAAATACTTATGAAACGCTTCACACTCAGCGGTGACCTTGTTGGGAACATTTCTACGAGTGTGGAGGGAGACACCAGCATAGTAGGCAAAACAAAACAGCAAGGGAAAGGAAAAGGAGGAACAGGGACCTTCTACTGGCTTAGGGAGGAAAAGAGAGAGAACCACGCGGCGACAGTGAAGGAGAGGATTCTGGGTCATGAGAACATACACGACTGAAGAGAACTGACGAGGAGACGTCCAGTGGGGACCGAACTGAAGACACAGGGAAGACAATGGTCTAATGTTTTCTCCAGATGAACTTCCCTCTGCACCTCATTATTTGTCTCCTTCCCTTTAACCCACGGAAGTAATTATGGTATTAGCTTCAGGGACCATGGCTGGGAGAGTGCAGGCATGTTCTTGGACAGAAAACCTTTCCAGATTCCACCAAACTGCAACCACGAGAGTGGTTTTCTCCCCTTCTCCCTCTGTATGTGCACGGGAGTGCACGCACGCAGACAACCTCAAATCCGTACTGAGGTCTCCACCACGAAAAATGTAAAATAAAGACCCCGGAACTAGACGACACAGCACAAGGATGTATGTTATTTTGCCATTTTCTACAGAAAAGAATCCCCATCTCCTTTTCCGAAAGCTACAAATTATGGAATTTGACAAAAATACTTCAACGAGAAAAACCATGATCCTAGAATTAGCGAATTTTAGAACGAGAGCTGGCGCGTACAATGGGAACGATGCTGCATCAAGACTTCAGATCGAGGGTCTACCAGCAACCAGGTCTTAGGACTATGAGCCCGCCTTCCCCCTTCCGAACACTGGTCTTCTCAAGTGTAAAACAAACGAGTCAGAAGAGGTTGCTGTGGTCCCAACCAGCCTTCAAAAGCACTGATTCTGGTCCTGTGTGTGCTATTTCTAGGTAAAGACAACAAGGCTTGAAGAAGACAACTCAGCACTGGCTGGTGTGGCTCAATGGATTGAGCACTGGACTGTGAACCGAGAGGTTGCTGGTTTGATTCCCAGTCAGGGCACAAGCCTGGGTTGCAGGCCAGGTCCCCAGCTGGGGGACAACCAATGGCTGTTTTCTTCCTCTCTTCCTCCCTCCCCTGCTTTCTAAATAAATAAATAAATAAAATCTTTAAAAAAGAGAGGGAGAAGACAAGTCAGTGACTTGAAAAGTTAGTACGGTGGTGCCATCTGGGAATTGTGGGTCGCCGAGTTTCAGTCTAACGTTCTTTATGCTACAGAAAGTTTGAAGTCACTGATGGTATTTTTAAAATCCTCTATTCCTCCTCTCCCCCGAATTACATTTTCAAGAACTGGCTCAGCCAGGGCTACGGCGGAAAGTGGACAAACGCAGAACGTCTGTCCTCGCAGCCAGCTCGGGCTTCTCCGGGGCCCCCAGGCTCACCGGGGCAACCCGAGCTGTTTACCGGAGAGGCAGGGCCCGTCCCACACGGTTCTCATTAATGAGCTCAGCTCCGCGCTGACAAACCAAGGCTGGTGCTCCACACCAGCTGAGGATGTCAAAGATGACACTGAGGCATGTCCTGAGCAAATAACAGGCTTTTTCAATTACTTTCAAAAACAGCTATTGGAAAATCCAGTACGGTAGTTATATAAAAGACAGAGTGGAGACAGGGGAAAAACAGGATATTAGAAAGAAATAAGTGTTTATCATTCGATTACTCTCTATACAGGATCAAGTTAACTTAATTTATGCCAGATACTACAGCACAGAGAGTATTTTATGTATGCAAATTTACACACATACTGTAAAGGGGGCAGTTTGAGCTTCTTTCATTCAAACGCCTAACAAAGCATTATTCATATTTTGTTGAAAATAACCTCATAATTTTATTGCTTAAATACTTCTTGGAATTTATAAACACTGAAAAATACAGTAAAGAGATAGACCTCTAGTCAAGCAATATGATAAAGAAATTACACATCTGTTTGTCTTAGCATTAAGCTCAACTTCCACAGCTAAACAACTCACTCTGTCTAGAAAAATGGTAACACAAACATTCATTAGACTGCTTTTTCAAAAATATCTGCAAACTACACAAAATATAAACTGGTGATGTTAAAAAAAAAATCCAACAAATCTCCTGATCCATTTCTTTAGTTAATATCAAATATTTTTACAGCATCAAAGTTCACTGCAAACTACTGTTTTATTCTCTAAAAGCATTATTAAAATAGCTAGAATGTATTGTTTTACCATATGGTCCATCTTCAAGAAAAAAAATGATAGTCTATTAAAAAAACCCTTATGAGCAAAAGGCTAATTTAATTAAAAAACAACAACAACACACTCCAAGTGATAGGGTAATAAATTTTCTTTAGTCAATTTTTCATCTTAATAATCTCAGTTGTTTCTTTAAAGGCCACAAACACTTTTCAAACAGCTCGAGTTTCCGATCAAGCAGAGCGACACCCGGGCACGAAGAACACGCCGACGTTCACTCACCTAAGTAGGGGATGCAGGGCGTCATCTTCAAGCTGCTTATGTAGTCTCGGAGTCTCTTGTAGTTGTCTTCCTTGCTCATGACATACTCTAGCTTTTCAAAGGTGGTTTTGTCTTTTCGACTTAATAACTAAAAAACAAACAGAAAAGCCAAAGTTACTTCCAAATCCCATTTCATTACAGCAAAGACTTGAAGTTGTGTTGTGTTTACCGTAAATTTGAATTCCAAAGTTATATACCTTCTTTAATTGTATTTGGTAATACATAAATTACAAAAATCAGACGTGTCTATTAAGGCAATAATCCTAATCTATTAACTATAAAACATAATCTCTTGTATGTACATAAAATCATGAAATAAATTATAATACATTATTTCTCGTCTTTACTATTTTAAGCGGTTTCTGTTGACAAGCTTTTCTTGACCAGATCTAACCGTGGCCGCGGTCTCCACAAACTGGGATTTACATTTCTGACTTTGACCTTGTTTCTTTGACCCCTTTGACCGGTGCTGCGTCACACGCAGTTGAACTATCAACTGAAACTGTTTTAAGAGGCTCGAGGGGAGGCTTGCCTTGAGCGCCCTCTGGAACACACGGTGACAACCAAGGACAATAAGAGAAAAGCAGGGTCAGGCAGGTAACATTCACTAGAAGATTCAGAAAATATTTTTCAAGTATTCCAAAGACTCTGGAAAAAAAATACTTTTTCTTTAAACATATGAAGTTACTATTTCATTATGATGTAATAATAGTTCACCTTATTTATAACATGAAATATTAGTGTCCTTTTATAGTGTGCAAAACACTTCCAATAAAATCTTCATCTACTCCTCTAATGAGATTCACAGAAAAGTCCGCACGTTAATTCAGAGAAGAGCAGACTGAGACTCAAAGGTGACCGCCGTGTCAGCAAGGAGCAGAACACACTGACGCCCTCAGCCACCCGCCCACGGAGACGCAGGTCCCTGGCTTTCGGGGCTTAAGCTGGTGCTGGAGACAGAGAATCCTGACGCCTCACGGACCCTTCTGTCTAGTACTGCAAGTACAGAGCTGAACTGACGCAGGAATCTGTTTTTCTATCGGCTCCAAGATGCAGATTATCTCCAGATAATCCATCAGAAAAGCGTCTGAGCAGTGTCCCTTCATCATTAAAACACAAGACTTCAAAGAGCCCTTTTGCTGTAAGGTTTTACAGACACGCCGTGACCGCAAACGGTGGTTTCCCAGGCTTTTCCCTGGCCCCGTTTCAACGCGCTCGATGGGCATTTTCAAGGTCAGGGGCAGCGCTCTGCCCCTGTGAGTCCAGCCACCCCTTCCTCTCCCACATGGTGCAGCATTTGGGTGTCTGCACGCTGGTGTGAGGCCGCAGGGACAGCAGTGACCTAAGTCAATCATTCAAAAACTTTGGTGCAGCATCAGGAGAAGCAAATTACTTGGAACTCAAATTGATCTCGCCACGTCTGAAACACAAAACTGCTGAAGAACGACAGGGTCTAAACATGTAGAAAAATAACACGTTTTGCAGTTTTCATCATCAATCAATAACGTGAGTAAAGTGATCCAGGGTGGTGTGGGGCAGCAGGGGCTTGTTTCCAGAAGCCTCTTTGGACGAAGGATACGGAGGGGAGAATTAGGTGGATGTTGAGACAGGAATTTCCTAGCGATAGCTCAGAAACACTCATCCACAGCCCGCGAGCCACAGCCGTTACTGAGAAGTCTCCATTTTCTTCTACTTCCTTTCAAGAGTTTCTCTGATGTTGCCAGTGTGATCCCTACACTGTCACTTCACTATATTCCTCCTTCCAAAGGTGGGGCGGGGGAGGAAACAAAGTTCATCACAAGACTCTAACTCTGCACGTCTTGGGCGCCGTGCTGGCCAAGAGCATGACAACGGGGGCCGAGCTCTCCGCGGTCTCGGTGGGCTGTGAAGGAGGGGGCGTCACAAGTCCCTGGCCAGACAGACCGTTCCGCCACTGGAAAGAAACAGTCTAATTTGGGGAGCAAGCTGGGTGACTCCTGTTCCCGTCAATCCCCGTAAGAAACACAAGGCTCCCAGATCACCCCTTATCACCCTCACTGGTGTGCCCACACAGTATGTATAACCGTGTGTGCTTGCAGCAGTAAACTGTATCTACCTGGATCTCGGATGCAGACTAATTACAATCCTCTGTTTATGACACTCACTTATCCTTGGCCCCTGATGTGACTCTTGTTAAACTGATGTGCTTTTTAAATTTTATAACAAACACGTATGCAACCTCCTTCCTAAGAACTGCATACCAGTAACACACATCTTCGCTCCCTCCATAGCCAATTCCTCTAACTACCTTTAAGAGGCAGCCAGTAGCCACGACCCTGAATTTTGTGTTTATCATTCTCTTAAGTGTTATTAGATCTTTGACTAAAGTATACCATACTGTTGACAGTCTTTGGCAGTTGCTTCATTGACTGGGCATTTTTAAAAACTCTTGTTCTATTCCAGTTGTTCCAATTTTTCCCCATCGCTCTCCTCTGCCCCAACCCCCTCCTTTGTGGATCGAGTGCCGGCCTGTGAACTGAAAGGTCACCGGTTTGATTCTCAGAGCACATGCCTGGGTTGCAGGCCAGGTCCCCAGTTGCAGGCACGTGAGAGGCAACTCATCCATGTACCTCTCGATTTTCTCTCCCTCTTTCCTCCCTCCCTTTCCCTCTCTGTAGAAGTAAATAAATAAAATCTTAGAAGACAACTGCCCTGCCATCACTCTCGACCAACGCCCGCGCTTTTTACGTCTGAAGAAGCGAGGTACCGAGAGAACTGCGAACCCCACCACCACACACTCCACCGTGGCTGCACTGGGAACCAGAAGCGTCCCTTCCATGCTGCCAACCTGGACCGACTGCCCCTGCCCCACTGGGCTCCTGGGCCTCGTCCCGCTTGCCCGACCGACGGTGTCACAGGAATAACCCCTCGCTCTCCTACCAGTCCCCCTCCATGTGATCGCTGCCACCGGAACACAAACACGTCGTCATGGAGACCAGCTCCAAAACAAAACAAAATTCCACAAATCTTCGGTCTCACATTCCCCTCCAGCTACTGCCGCCAGATTCCTCTGCTACCCACCTCCTCCCAGCCCCGCGGAGCAAACTCCTCAAATACATTCTTTGTATCCGCTGTCCCATTCCCCCCCACCCCCCGCCATTCCCTCACACTGAATCAGTCCTTCCCCCCACCACTGCACCAAAACCAGCCCTCTTCCATCGCCAGACCCAACGGCCACTCCAAGGTCCTCACCTTATCCAGTGCATTAGCAGCATCTGACACAGGCTACCAATCACTCCTTCTTGAAACAGTTTCTTTACCTCACTGTGGAAACCTTCTCCTAACCATGACATTTCCTGTGGCGACTCCCCATTTTCCCAAAATTTAAATCTTGGGTGGTTCCAGTGCTTCTCATCTACGCTCACGCCTCAGGTCATCCTATCCAACCCACGGCTTAAGTGCTGTCTCTATGCTGATGATCACAAAATGTATCTGTAGCTCCACCTGCTCCCTTCAACCTGTACAGCCACCTCTGACCTTCCAGTCTCCCACAGACACTAGCAGCCACCTCCCACTTGTATGTATACAATGGAGCCTGCTCCCGCCCCGCCCACGCCCGCTCCACACCTCCACGGGAAACAGCATCTCCGGCACCTGACTCGATGCCACCTCTCTGCACTCGCCTCCTACCAGCAACCCCTCCCTGGCTCATGTACTGCCAACACTGACCACCCTGCCGTACTCCGAGCACTGACCACCCTGCCGTGCTCCGAGCGCCAGCAGGGCCTTCGCACTGGCTGCCGCCACTGCTCGGGGTTCTCCTTCCCAGACATCCACACGGAAGGTTCTCCAAGTCCCTCTGGGTCTCAAGCCAGCTGCCACTTTAAATTAGAGACTCTCTTGCAACATATTATGTGTAATGCTTCCCTGCTTTCCTTTTTATTCCACTTACTTTGCTTTATTTTTCTTCAGCGCATTCATCACTATTCAGGATACATCACTTATTTAGTTACGGGTTATCTCCTCCCAGCAGAATGCCGGCTAGCTAGGAATGGGCTGTCTCTAGAACTCACTGTCGTATGTTAGGCAATTACACAGTGCCCGGCACAGTGTGGAATATTTTAAAACTTAATATAAGCACCAAATACTTTATTTATATCAGTAATGGAGCTGCTACTAAATTAGAAAGAAATCTTTTCCATGCAAACACATGAGAAAGACAGTAACAATATCTTCAAGGAAAATAAAAATTAACTCGAGGGAAATATATCTCATCTCTAGACCACAATATAAATCAGAGTATAATTCTCTTCCCTAAAACTTCAAAGATGGAATTCATAACTATGTATTTATTATTTATAATCATTTCCATTCCTCCATGAAATTCGAATTAGGAAAATGGAATTAAGGCCATCGTTATTAAAAATAAATTTTAAAGTAGGAAAACCCTTCACCCAGGTGTTTCTAAAGTACAAATAAAATATAAGGAGGCCTGGAGTCCTTCCATAGTAATATTTTCCAGTACAGAAATCTACCCTGGTTTTCATGAGAAACATCTGTCTCTGCAGACACTGTGAAAAGGGAAAGCAACATTAGGCTAATTAAGAATAGTTATGCTTTAGTAACTAAAAAAAAAGAAACTTTTTACATTCAGTCATGTCTTTGTCATAGGATCCGAATACACTAATCCTTTGTACAAAATCTAATGAACAAAGTCTGTCCTCTTTAACATTAAAGAACAGTGTTAAATATAACCAGGCTTAATTAAATGTAAAATTTTACTTACATAAGCGTAAACAAAAATACCTAGGAAGCTTGAAGCCAGCATCATGTACTCAAAGACGAAAAATCTGCAAAGTCCAAGTTCACACCCCGTCCTCGCTGAGGCGACAGAACTGAGTGCGGCTGGCCCGGCGTCAGCGTGCGGGGCCACACTGCGTAGCACCACGCCAACACCCAGATTTTCACGATTTCTCAGGAAAAAACCCAAAATTGACTGACTGAAAAATAACGGAAATACCCTGGCTGGAGTGGCTCAGCGGATTGGGTGCCGGCCTGCGAACCAAAGGGTCGCTGGCTCGATTCCCAGTCAGGGCACAGGCCTGGGTTGCAGGCCAGGTCCCTGGTGGGGGCGTGTGTGATGCAATCACACATTGATGTCTCTCTCCCTCCCCACCCTCCCTGAAAATAAATAAAATCTTTAAAAATAATGGAACTCTAAGTCAATATACTTTTCAAAACTTAAAAAAATTTAGTTTTCCCTCAAACTTTCCAAAAGCGTATCTTTACATGACTACACAAGATTTTGGTACTTAGACTCTCCCATCAGTACACAGGAAGGGCTGTACGGTCCAAATGCTTAAAGAGGTTCGGCAAACTGACTTCCTAGAGAGCAGAAACCAAGCTGTACTTTACCCCAAAATTATCTGACAAGGCTCGTGAAACATTTACGGAGAGAGAACAATGTGGGTTTCAAGGAGCAGCATACAAAGCAGTCAAAAAACCCCCATCTATCACCCTGACGTGAACCGCAGTCACCAAGCGCTGCAGAAGAAGCTGCTACACCTCTCACCCCCAACAGCAGCGCCACCCGTTCACCCGCTCGGGAAGCGTCACTCACCGCCCAGGTCTTCGTCAGCCTGAAAATCGGGGCGCTCTGCAAGCCCGAGACCACTGCCATGAGCGCGTGGAGGTTATTCAACTCGTACAGTTTCTGAGGATTTAAGGAAGAGAGAAGGGAGGAAAAATAAGCAGCACGAACACAAAACAACGTGGGGTTCGCAGCGAGTGAAATCTGGGCAGCCGCAGTGTCCAGGGCTCGTCCCCTCGCTGCGGAGGCCTGTCTCTAGAGCGCCCCCTGTGGAACGTTAGGTCGCTTCTGGCGACAGCAGAAACCCCACGTTCTACCCTGGCACTGGCCGATCGACCTCTCGCTGGGTAATACACTAAGGAAACCAAACTTACGGCTCACATCAAGTTTACCAGGTTCGGCCGTGCACGCTGGAGTCCAGCAAGCAGTCTTCTTCCTTAAACGAACATGTTACCAGGCCCGTGTCTTGTGATCCAAGGTTCAAGAAAAGGGTCTGTGCCCGGGATCCTGATCTGGTTTCCTACTCCATACCCCCGCTAACTCCGGGCCTGGGGCTCACACCTGCTTTCTCCACTCCAGCTCAGCCTCCTGCTTCCTCTGGCCCGAACCCCCAGCCTCACGCTCCTCCTCGCTCTGCTCGGACACCCACCTGCTTCCCAGGACCAGACCTCGCTCTGGACAGTGTCCTTGCAGGACACTTGTACCGAACCACAGGTTCCGTCAGTTTGCCAACATACCTGCTTGACACGTACCGCTCGTTGTCCAGACTTCCTCATACTATGACATGCTTACAGCCCAATGGCCCTATCTAGAAATAAGTCGTTTAAAACTGGCCTCACCCCTCTCAAGAGACTCCAAGGCAAAAAGCCTGTTCTGAACATTAGAACTAAGAAAAGGGAAGGGGTTCTGTTTTTCTGGAAAACTCAGACTAGTACACCATCTTAACTCTGGTCTCAAAGTATTCCCATAAAGTTTCAAGAAATATGAACTCACGTGAGAAAGAAAATGAAAAGGAAAATGAAAAAACACAAAGAAATAGGAGTTCACAAATGGAGAACATCATCAGGTGTGGCCCTCAAATGAATGAATATTAACTATGAAGGCATTATCTAGAACGCAACGTAAAAGCCAAAGTTTTTAAAAATGTAAAACAAAGAGATGTGAAAGGCACGGCAAAAAGGCCATTACTTATCTAATTTAAGTTAGGAGATAGTATTACTGAGAGACACTAATTCCCAAGGCCAGGAACCCAAGGAATCCCAAGCAGAGTAAATAAAAAAACACACCCAGGTAAGTCTGAAATAACCTTTTATTTTATTTTGTCTGGATGCTTCTAGACAAAATAAAATAGAGAGAACTTTAAGAAAGAGGGATTTTTAAGAATGCTGCCAGAATGATTATTCATAGAAATTATGAACTGAAATCCATAATTCATACATATTATATATTAAATTTACTCCAGACAGATTAAATACTGAAGTATAAAATCAAAGCTGTAAAACTTTTAAAGTCTAATTAAGAAAACATTTTTGATATTCTCAGAGATTAGAGTAGGTTTTCCTAAATAAGATATCCTTAAATAAGACAATAAAAATTAAAGATACTAAGCTAAGAACATCTACATCAAAAGACAACATGAAAAGAGTAATAGTAAGACAAGTTATAAATAGGCAGATGTATGTTTTTTTCTGTTTCCAGAGAACCCTAACCATCTCTGAAAGAAGAGAAAGACCTGGCAGCTTTGTAACAAACTGAATATAGAAGGCAGAGAGTCAAAACAGAAGAATTTAAGAAACAACGATAAGACAAAAAGTTATGAATGTAGGGTTTGGGATAACTGTCTAACATAACTCAGAGTTTACGAGTCTGAACTAGAATTAAATGATTATTTGATGAGAAGGATAATAGCATATCGGATGGGCAAAACTGGGTGGTTTTGAGTGGAATATACGAGGACATAAAGAACTAACAAAAATACCAGAAAACAATAATGCAAATTCATAATCTATGGTGAAAAGTCACGAACTGTTATTAGCTAAAACCCAATATTTATCTAACTTACCACAAAGAATGTTTTTAGAAATTTTATGACACTTCTACAAAATATCAAATTTTAGAAGGCTAGTTCTGCCACCTAGTGCCACAGAATCTTAGAATACAATTGCTCCGTGTGCTCAAGGAAAACAAGCAAGAGGTGTAACTTACAATAATTGCAATTTTATAATAATTACAATGCTTAGAGTTGGTAAAATGGTATCCTCGTTTTACACCATCTTCTTTTATTCACAGGGGAACTAAGTTATAAGTATATTACAAGAATAATAAAGAATGTGGCTACAAATACACACCACATTTTAGTGAACCTAACATACATTTGGAGTTGTCACAAGTTTTAGTAAAATCTCGGTACCCTCTCTGGGAATGTCCCGTTCCTTCCTCCTCTCCAAATCCTGCCTGCCCTTGAGACCCACAGTCCACTCCCCTTGCTGATCTGCTGCCCATCCCCCACAGTAACTACGCAATGAGCGTATTTGGTTAACATCCTCATTCATACTATTCTTTTAAAACCAAAGTCACATCATTCCCCACAAGGTTGGCAGAGTTCTCTATTTCAAAAGTAAATAACCAATATGTATTCTACTCAATTCTACAAGGCTTTCTCAATCACTTGCAGAAGAGTCTAATATTTAAATAGTGGACTTTGCCATAATCCGACCTCTTTATTCAATCAAATAAATCATACAATGCAGCTATTCTCAGAAATGGGAAAAGATATAAAAGGGGAAGAATAAAAACAAATAAAGGAAAAGGCAGAGAAAACAAGCATCAGTTTAAAAACTGACTTTTATTAATCAGTGGGTCTTACGTTCTAGCATTAGAAAATAGTAAATTAAGTATCACAGGCAAATATTCACAGATTGCTGAGTAGCTGAACTCAAAATGAAAACCACAAGTTTTTCTTACCTTAGCAGTTTTAATATAGTGGCTCAAAACTTCTGCTCTAATTTTTAATGTTTGAGCATGAAGAATCTCTCTGACAACCCAAAAGCTTACCTGCAAATAAAAATAAAAAATAGTTGAATGGCAAGATTCTTTACTCACTTGGTCCAAATCAGTGACAAAAGCCACTGGGAGAACCCCCTACGGCTGTTTGAAAACCACACTTTCTCCTTCCTTGGATTCACCACCAGGACACAACCAATCTTCAAATGTTGCACACACGTCATCTATATAGACAGATACAGATGTGTGTGCGTGTGTACACACAACATAAAAACATCACTACTACTTTTAATTTGTAAAAACTTTTCCTTCAGCCCTGGCTGGTGTAGCTCAGTGGATTGAGCGTGGGCTGCAAACCAAAGCATCACAGGTTCGATTCTCAGTCAGGACACATGCCTGGGTTGCAGGCCATGGCCCCCAGAAACCGCACACTGGTGTTTCTCTCTCTCTTTCTCCCTCCCTTCCCTCTCTAAAAATGAGTAATAAAATCTTTTAAAAATTAATTTAAAAAAAGCTTTTCCTTCAAAAATAGAAACTTTTGGAAAGGAAAAGAGCTAAGAGAATGCAATAAAACCGGGTGATGCAAATGAACATTACATTAATACAGTTTTTTCTCCTGTACTGTCGAACACTCTGGCAGAACCAGGTAAGCTCGAAGAACAGATCCTGGAGCACACGCTACTGACAGCATGGCGTCCTGCAGGTACGCAGCCCCACGTTGCCCTTTGTGGACACCGAGCGGGATCCCGAGTGTGAAAAACCCCAAGTACGGTTTTCTTGGTATGAGCGAAATGAAATAAAATGTCATAAACAAAAACAAATGCGAGTCACTCTAAATGTAAGATTGTATTTTAAAAATCATGCAGTACTTTCTAATTCAATGAAACCACACTCGTGATTTCTTTTAAAGAACATTAAAAGATCATCAGAAGGTGGACTAGATCTGTAGGATGACTACGTGTCCGATGCTGGTGAAGACGGTCTGCTCATCACGCGGCGTGACATGTATGTAGCGTTTTAATTCACGTGCAGTGATGATAAAATCGGGGCACGGACTGCTGCTCACATTTATGCAAATCTAAAACAGGGTGCGGTTAGAAGTCTTAATGCGAAAGATAATGCTACTAACTCAGATTTCTTCACTATTTTTTGTGAGAAGTGTCAGATTTTACTTGCAATTTTCATCAGTAAACTGTCAAAATGTATATATTTTACAAATGCATGGGTGAAAGTAAAATGAACATATTTTATGAAGCCATCTTCCTATCTGTTACTATATTTAAGCTATCAATGGCAATAACTATCCCTGATTCTTATTAAGTTTACTTCTAAATATATCAAAATGTTAATTTTGGATATTTCAATAACAACCTTGGCAATTATCTGTGACTGCAATCTCAACTGCATGATCATTAACTTAATTAAATTGGATGTCAAACAAATACTAAGACAAATACTATGGTGATTTTAAAACATGACCACAGCCCTGGCTGGTGTGGCTCAGTAGACTGAGCGCTGGCCTGCGAACCAGAAGGTCGCCAGTTCGATTCTCAGTCAGGGCACATGCCTGGGTGTGCCAGGCCAGGTCCCCCAGCGGGGGCGTGCTAGAGGCATTGCACACTGATGTTTCTCTCCCTTTCTTTCTTTCCCCCTTCCCCTCTCTAAATGTAAATAAATAAAATCCTTAAAAGAAAAAAAAAAACCATGACTACAAATTCCTCTCCTCGAAGGCTGGGGTGGGAGTCACCTCTCAGTGAACTCGCACAGGCTCCCAAGCGCCTCGATGCACTGTGAGGAGTAAAGCGCTCGATGCTGCTTCCAGGGCCCGGGCACGCTGGGACGTCCTCCCTGGGCCCCCAGGCTCTGGGTACGAAGCCCAGTGACACTCACACCGCCATGCTGGAAAGGCTCAGTGTGGGTGCTCCCCAGGCGACGGTCCCCAGCCCCAGCTAAGAATACTGGCCCAGAAGGAGCCCAACGCCAAGAGGCCATTTAATAATTTTACTGGACTTCAAAGAAAAAAACTCTTTAGGCCATTGAGACAAAAAGAGACAGCAATCTTTTAGGAAAAAGAAAATTTAATTATCGTCAGATTTTTCAACAGCAAAGCTGCTTGCTCTGTCAGAAAAAAAGTTGAGTATATGGCAAATATAATTTTAGAAAAAGAAACTTTTATACAGAAAACGGGCATACTTGTCAATATGTACGAACTCAGGAACTATCGATCTAATGAGTCCTTCCTACGTAAGTAACCTATGAGAATGAGCTTCAGACAACCACAGCGGCTGCAGAAACATCAACATCAGGATGGGTACATGAAATACACACTTATTCACAGAGCCGAGAGTAAGTAAGGGTTAAAAGAGAGTGAGTGCATCATAGCATCTATATGCTCAGGTAATATTTAGCACAATTATAAAAAGCAGAGCACCTGCAAAGCATGCACTTGTTCGCGGCAGTATTACTGGTATTAGTAGTACCATTCGGAGCCCGTTAAGCAGGAGGACGCAAGCAAGTGAATCCCAGGGCACTGCACTGTGCCCTGTGTTCCTATGGGAACTCTCTGAACTGCCTTTCCATCTGTTCCAAGTCTACACTGGAAGGCAGAGACTGTCAGACTGGATTTGGAAAAGGAAGGCTCGACTACACGCTGGCTACAAGAGATTCCTTTTCTAAAATAAAGATGCAGACAGGATCCCCCTAAAAGACTCTAATTGGCTACTTCGGATGCCCTGTGACCTTCAAGGAGATTAAACGGAGCAATGGGATGACGAAGCGATGACGCTCACACAGGATCAGTGGTGATCTGGAACCAGGGAAAAAGCTCTCGGTACGCTGTGACATCTTTGACTGGACAACTTTTGGATTACATAAGAATAATCTAAATGCTTAAAATCTAGAGTCAAATCTGTGGGCATTGTAACATAATGTATTTATGGCAAAGAGAAAACTTTCATTGTGATGATAAATTCTAACCACCACAGGAAATTTTTGAAAGCAACGGCTATAGAGCTTAAATATGGAATTCAGTAGGAAGACAGGCTGGCCTTAAATTAAGCCCCTATTAATGATTCCATCTAAGTTTTAAAAACTCAAACCCATTTCGATTTAGGGACATAGAGTGAGCCAAGGAACCTAAGAAACCACTGGCTATAAACATACAGAAATGCTGGGTTAAAGATAACAGGCTGTTTCACTAAAGAAATGTATGTCTAACTGGAAAGGAAAATAAAGGATTTCCCTAAAGGCCAAAAACAAAGAAGAAAATAAAGGCAAAGCAGTAGTTAAAAGAAAAGATTTCCTTTCAGTGACAGGGGCTTAGGATTTAATACCCCTCCAAAAACGTTAAGGCAAGGTCTCCCAGCTCTGCCCTTCCCCCGCTGTGAGCATCCACGGGGTGGGGTCTCAGGAGGGCTCCACTCTCGGGGGGAGGTTTGCCAACACCACTCACCCACTGGCAGAGGGAGGAGGAAAACACAGCGTTCGTAGGAATGGGTAACCTGCCCTTAGTTGGATTTCCAGTTTAAATTTTCACTACACAGAAGTACAGATGCTCCCGAAGCAAAACATTGACCATACAGAACAGCCCTACGTCTGTGACGGCCCTGGGTACCAGCAAGGCAAACAAAAAGCTTCTAGGAAGGGATACGCCCTCACCCTAGGCAGCGGCAAGATGCCCACAGCTAGCGCTTAAACAGACTGAGATCTCCACCCAAAGTTGCAAAACGCTTAAGAAAACAAACCACTATGAATAAGGATCAGCAGAGATAACAGATTTAGTGCCCCAAGGACTATGGATAATAACAGAAATTGTAAAACAAGATGTTGAAAATGATTTAAGAAATTTAAAAAAAATGGCACTAGTGTAAAAGCATGGATTTAAAACATGTAACATTTCTGAGAATTAGTGAACTAAAATACAGACCTGAGAAAATCACACAGAATGAGCAAGAGGGACAGCATGTAGCATAAGAAAGGTTAAGTCAAGTAGGAGAAAAATGTGAAGTTCTCACAAATTTCCAACACGAATTCCAAAAGAAAAAGAGAATATGCAGAGAGTATTTGAAGAGAACCTGAAAATGCCCCAGAACTTATTTCTTTATGAAAAATTACATATTGAGGGATTATATGTCAGAAACTAAACATCAACATTTTGTAAGCAACTGCCCTGGCTGGTGTGGTCAGTGGATTGAGTGCCCCGCGAACCGAAAGGTCACCAACTCCTGGTCAGGGCACATGCCTGGGTTTAGGGCCAGGTCCCTGGCTGGGGGGGGAGTGCAAAAAGCAAAAAGCAACCGACCGATGTTTCTCTTGCCCATTGATGTTTCTCTCCCTCTCGCTCCGAAAATAAATAAAACCTTAACAGAAAGGGTTTACGGGCAACTCACATGATTAAATCTTCGTGTGAAGGCAACTGCATTTGGTGCGGAACTGTATTTTTCTTTTTTATTCCATCCACAACTTGAAAGCTCCTGGAAAAGTAAGTTGAAAATTAAATATAAATTCAAGAAACAGCCAGATCTTCTGGTCATATTAAGGGTTTCAAAACCTTGAAGAGAGTTGTACCCCTTCCTAGAACTGTGGTACCCAACAGGAATTTATCTAACCTTCAACCACTTAGTTAAATCACAAGAGCAAATCTCACTGGCTGGAAAGACGAGGGCAGAGCCACCCGTCTGTGAGAACACAGTGACCGGACTGCCGCTCCAGGGCACACTGACTGACCTTTCCTGGGAGAGGTCTGAATCCCAGGAGGAAGGACCCCCGATGCTGAGGGCTGAGGGTCCCACAGCGGAAGCGAAGCCAGTCGTTGAGCCCCATTCAGTCACTCAGACCTTCCACGAGCTTTTCCATGCCTCAGCCTCCCAGCTGACAGCCCACGACCCAGAGGGTCAGAGAAACCTCTGATAAAGGGGTTCCTGACCCCCTCCACCCCAGGGTCTGTCAACAGAGCTCGAGGGGCTCAAGAACTGGGATGTGAGAAAAATGAAATCTGCGTTTTACACCAACCACTAACTGAAATGACACTCCTTTTCATTGTAAATGCGGGCTACAGATTCCAGAAGCATCAGCAACATGTGTGACTTTGTCACTAATAAAAATCATGTATTTTCATATCACATTACAAGATAAATCAAAAACATCTATTACTCATCATTACTTTAAAATATTCTTTCACCTCTAGATCTTATTTATTACATTAATAAAAACACACAGATGGCGGTATGACAGTTTAAACTATTTTGACAAGTGTATTTTAATAGAACTTATTTCCTTTCCTTTAACAAAGGGTTCAGTTCCATAGGCTTCAGTCCTGCTGAAGCAGTCCAAGGTTCAAAATAAGAATCCTGCTGTTTCACCGACCACAAGAAAGAGACCAAATCTACACGAAGAAGAAAAAGAACGCAGGAAACCGAGTTACAGTGGGGAACAAGAGACAATGGCGAAAAGACAAACACAAAACCGTACTTATGACTCTCAGAGAGACTGATGGTGAGCATTGTTCCCATTCGGGAAAACCGGGAGGATGTAAAACAATATATCCAGAGGAAAAAAACAGAGCTTTTGGAAATGGAAAATAAATTTTAAAAATATACAGAAGAATTGTGAGATAAAGGTGATAAAATATTTTAAATAAGCTAAAAGTAGGAACAAAAATGTTAATCGTATGAATCCATAAGGGTAAAATCTGAATCATAAAAAAAATTTTAAGAGCTGACAGAGAAAATGGAGAAAAGTAACTTAAAAAAAAAAATTCATGAAAATGTCCCAGAACTTAAAGGACAAGAAAAGACCTATTATTAAACAGTTAAAAAAAAAAAGACTCAAACCAAGGCTGAGCATCCAAAAATTGGAGCACACTGGAGATAAAGATCATAAAATCTGTCAGATGGAAAAAAACCAACAAAAATGTATCACACAGAAAACCAGGAATGGGGTGGTATCGACTTGCTCTGTAGCAACATTAGAAGTTAAAAGACCACTGAAACAACACCTTCAAATGCCTAGAATTCTAACCCAACCAAAACACCCATCCGGTGTGGAAGTGCACGGCAGACAATTCCAGACACTAAAGCCGGAGAATCTTCCTTCCACGCAGCTACTCTCAGAGATCCAGGAGAACGTGTCCCATCAGAACAAACGAGCAAATTAAGAACAAGAAGGTGGTGGGATCCAGGAAGCTGGAAGCCAACGCAGAAAAAGAGCATCTGGAACCCCCACGTTAACAGCCAAGGGAGGCCCTGGGACGCAGCTGGGAGCGGACCGTAAGCGAGAACGCCGGTCCAGACGGTAAGGACCAAGAGGCCAGCGATTCTAAGAGACTTGAGTCTGAAAGACATCACATGGACACATTCAATTCGTTTGCTTCTGGTAGAAAAATCGGCAACAAGTACAGAGGAAGCTAACATAATTATTAGCTGAGGAAAACAGAACGTAAGCAACCACGGCTCAAGCGTGAAGAGTATGTGAGCCATGACTAACTTGTTCTTTACAGGGGAGCCACGGTTACCTATTGGCATCAAAACTGTGGCACAACCATTTGGGAAAAAGAGGAGAAAGTGAATTGTGTAAATGTAGGGGAGAATATAAGAGAGTGAAATCATCTTCTATTGGACACAGACAATAAATCATATCCAAAGCTGAAAAAAACAGAAATAATGGGCATTTAGAATTCTACTGGAAAACTGGACATAAATCCCACAGAGGAGCAGCTAAGAGACTTGGGTAGGGGTGCGGTTCCGGGGGGGGGGGGGAGGCTGGAAGGGTGAGAGCAATGGGGCGGGGTACTGCCATGTGACGTTCTCTGTGGGAACATCTGACTTAGACATGATGCATGCGTGTCTTCAGGGAAATTTTAAAACGATGCAGAAACTAACAAAAAGGGACGGACTGAGTCGGGGAGGACCGAGGAAACAGTTGTGACACTCCAAGACAAAAGCAACCTCCCCTCCACGAGGGCGGAGTCAGTGGATGTGGAAAAAAGTGGAAGAGCCAAGATATTTTGGAGGCAGGCAGGACTTGGTTGAAGGCTGGGTTCACGCAGCGTCGGCTGAGAACTCGGTGCCTGGAGCGCCTGGGTGCCCTGGTGTCGGCCAGGGCCATGACACGGGAGTACCGAGGAAAGATGACATCGCTCCAACACAGCTGGTGAGCAGGGAACGCTCTGAAGACAGGGAGCACTAACCTGTTGTTTTTTTTTTTAAAGATTTTATTATTTTATGTTTAGAGAGGGAAAGCGGGGGAGAGAGAGAAAGAGAGACAGACAGGCATCAATGTGTGGTTGCTGGGGGCTGTGGCCTGCAACCCAGGCATGTGCCCTAACTGGGAACTGAACCTGCGATGTTTTGGTTCGCAGCTCACAGTCAATCCACTGAACTACGCTAGCCAGGGAGCACTAACCTGTTTTTAAACCTAAAATTAGATGAGAACTTTCAAGTTTGAAATTACTGAAGGAAAAAATAACACGACAGAAGCAACTCCACAGTAAAAAAGAAAAAAACTGCTCGGTACTCAGCCTAGATGTACGCTCATTTCCCACTATCCCTTGGTACAGCCAAAAAATAGTTACTGGTAGATATTATATTAACATAGAATGGCATGATATGATGACTATACTAAAAAACATCCATCTGCTAGAAAGCATTTTTATTCTTCTTAAAAATCAAGGCATATTTATAATTATATAAAACGTCATATTTTAGGACAAGATTCCTCAATTAAATCCCTAAACACTGAATTTATTTTTAACCATACAATTTCCAAATTTATATTAATGCTATAATCAAAGGGCCTCCACCCAACTGCTGTTACATTTATCAAACCATCCAATGCGGCCGTTTGATGTGGAGTTCAAGCTCAACTACAGAGCTTTGCACGTAAGACGGATTTCATTTTCCTGCTGGAAGGCTACGTTAGAGAAAATGAATATCCTTGTACCTTTTCCGACATTTCTGATCATCTTCTGCAAGTGAGATCACTAGGTCAAAGACGATGACCTTTCTCAAGGCTTTGAGAGCCAACTGCCCTCTCAAAACCCTGAGTTATTTATATTACCACCACGCAACAGTCTTAGCAAAACTGGGTGTGTTTAATTCCTCTTATATATGTTAGTACTTTAACTTCCCTAACTGCGACAGTAATTATGTTGGTAAAATGTATTTGTTACATAGAGAGCAAACGGGGAGTGGTGGGGCTGTGAGTCACCTAGCAACCCACGGCCTAAAGCAGCCCCATGCAAACACCTTCCCAGGGACTTCTGTAAGAGACTCGGGGAGCCTGGTTTTGGTTTGTTTCTTTAAAGTAGCCAATGCACCTGACCTTTTCGGAGTGGTTTCATCTACTGACTCTGTGCTTAAAAAGTGCCCCCATCCCAAGACGAGATGCCTGAGCAGCGGCACTAGAAACGACGGTTCGCTCCGACTCCCAGACCGCTGTGCGCCAGGCGCCAGTCCACGTGCTTCGCACAGCGACCCACTCCATCCTGTCTTCATCCACCCGCGTCACTTTTATGGTAAATGAGGGGCCCGGACAAAAAAAGTACTGGCGACTTAGAGCTTGATGTTTTACATTAAACGGTTTTTTAAAGGTTTTTGAAAAATCTAACTCTTGAGCCATTTCAACATCGTTAACTTAATGGAAAAATGCTTTCTCCCTTTACGAAGATTTTGTTGGACGTGGGTGGAGGGGAGTCAACGAATCTGCAGTCACATCACATTGGGGTAAACAAATTAAATTCCGCTGGAGCCCTCCACTCAAAAGAAATGTATAAGTAGGCAATACAAAGAAACAAGGTTTTTTCTTTTTTAAACGACTTAAGATGATAGCTCCTGCTTCAGAAAATACTTCCCCTCTGAGCCAATGTTACATTATTAGTTCACCTAACACAACAAACCACCGGAACTGTAGAGATGGAGAACAGACTGGTGGTGGCCAGGAGTTAAGGGTGCCGGGGAGGGGGCAGGTAGCATAAGGGAGGGATCTCCGTGGTGATGGGAGAGTTCTGTATCTCGGCTGAGGTGGTGGTGAGACAAATCGCATCTACACATATGATCAACTGTCACAGAGCTACACAGACACGCACTGCACTATCCTTCCGTAAGACGTTACTCTTCCAGGGGTGAGCAACCTTTCGGCATCTCTGGGCCACACTGGAAGAGGAAGAGTTGACTTGGGCCACACATTAAATACACTGTGACATGCAATCACAGAAAAACCTCACGATGTTTTAAGGAAATGTACGATTTTGTGCTGGGCCGCAATCACAGCCATCCCGGGCTGCATGCGACCCGCGGGCCATGGGCTGGACACCCCTGCAAATCTAGGAAAAACTGAGTAAAGGGTAAAAAGGCCTTCTCTGCATTATTTTTTGCAACTTCCTATGAATCTACAATTATCTCAAAACAAAAAAAGTTAAACAACAATGAAAACGCACATAATGGACTATGCCGCTGAAACTGCGTGGACTCCAGGA